CATTAAGGGGAGCAGCATTTAAGCCAGGAGGTGACTGCTGTTCGTCGCTGGATCGATTGTCTACCACGCGTTAGTGAAGTCAAGCTACAGCAAGTTTAGTTAAGAGTGTTTTCCTCTGTGCGTCGTTCTTAACCCTGTCTCCCTGTCTACAGAGCTTCCTGGATTTTTCCCCGTGTGATTCCCGTGTGGCAGTGTCGGAGTGTGAGCCTGTGATCGTGTGAGTGGATATTCTGAAGAACGCGTGCTTTCCCTTGGACTTCCCTGGAGACCCCTTCTCCCCCCACTCAGCTGTATATAACACCCCCCCCCCTTCTTCCCCCACTCACTGTATATAACACCCCCCGCACATTCTTGTATATACACCTGGTGACTTGTAAATAAACTCTCTTGTAGCATCAGACCGGAGTCCTGCGCTTGAGTCCTCCTCCAAACCGTAACAATAACGATCCAGCCATCATGGACTCAGCGGACTCAAACCCACCCAGCAACCCGTCCTCACCCCGGAGGCAATTCTGGAACGCCACGAACACATGCTTCGGCACATAAATCAACAACTGGCCGCACTCACTCAAGCCCTCGCTCAACGTCTACCGTCGGTAAGCCCACCCTCACCCCCTCCGTCTGTTTCTCCTCAGCTATCGGCTCCAAATCCATCTGCAGCCGCTCCGCCTGTTTCCCCCACGCCGGCTTCCACAGAACCTCCAGAGGATCGTTACCAGCGCCGGAGCCTTTCTCGGGTGAGTTCAATAAATGTGGTGGATTTTTGACTCAGATCACCCTACAATTCGTCAGTTACGAAGAACATATGAGACAGATGGGGCCAAAATCGCCTTTATGGTTCAATTGTTACGTGGGCCGGCATTAAACTGGGTGCAAGCTGTTTTAAGAACAGCCCCAGACATTTCTTACGAGGACTTCCTCACCAAATTTAAAAGTGTTTTTGAAAGAGGCACCGGAGCGGAGGCGGCTGCCCACAGACTGTTAAATTTGAAGCAGGGGAGGCGGAGTATGGCGGATTTTTCGGTCGAATTCTGGACCTTGGCCGAAGAAACTGGCTGGGGGCAGTCGGCATTGATACAGTGGGGCAAAAAAGTATTTAGTCAGCCACCGATTGTGCAAGTTCCCCCACTTAAAATGATGACAGAGGTCAGTAATTTGCACCAGAGGTACACTTCAACTGTGAGAGACAGAATGTGAAAAAAAAATCCATGAATCCACATGGTAGGATTTGTAAAGAATTTATTCGTAAATCAGGGTGGAAAATAAGTATTTGGTCACCTCAAACAAGGAAAATCTCTGGCTCTCACAGACCTGTAACGTCTTCTGTAAGAAGCTTTTCTGTCCCCCACTCGTTACCTGTATGAATGGCACCTGTTTGAACTCATCATCTGTATAAAAGACACCTGTCCACAGCCTCAAACAGTCAGACTCCAAACTCCGCCATGGCCAAGACCAAAGAGCTTTCGAAGGACACCAGGAAAAGTATTGTAGACCTGCACCAGACTGGGAAGAGTGAATCTACAATAGGCAAGCAGCTTGGTGTGAAAAAATCAACTGTGGGAGCAATCATCAGAAAATGGAAGACATACAAGACCACTGATAATCTCCCTCGATCTGGGGCTCCACGCAAGATCTCATCCCGTGGGGTCAAAATGATCATGAGAACGTGAGCAAAGATCCCAGAACCACACGGGGGGACCTGGTGAATGACCTGCAGAGAGCTGGGACCAAAGTAACAAAGGTCACCATCAGTAACACACTACAACGGCAGGGAATCAAATCCCGCAGTGCCAGACGTGTTCCGCTGCTGAAGCCAGTGCATGTCCAGGCCCGTCTGAAGTTTGCCAGAGAGCACATGGATGATACAGCAGAGGATTGGGAGAATGTCATGTGGTCAGATGAAACCAAAGTAGAACTTTTTGGTATAAACTCAACTCGTCGTGTTTGGAGGAAGAAGAATACTGAGTTGCATCCCAAGAACACCATACCTACTGTGAAGCATGGGGGTGGAAACATCATGCTATGGGGCTGTTTTTCTGCCAAGGGGACAGGACGACTGATCCGTGTTAAGGACAGAATGAATGGGGCCATGTATCGTGAGATTTTGAGCCAAAACCTCCTTCCATCAGTGAGAACTTTGAAGATGAAACGAGGCTGGGTCTTCCAACATGACAATGATCCAAAACACACCGCCCGGGCAACAAAGGAGTGGCTCCGTAAGAAGCATTTGAAAGTCCTGGAGTGGCCTAGCCAGTCTCCAGACCTCAACCCCATAGAAAATCTGTGGCGGGAGTTGAAAGTCCGTGTTGCTCGGCGACAGCCCCAAAACATCACTGCTCTCGAGAAGATCTGCATGGAGGAATGGGCCAAAATACCAGCTACTGTGTGTGCAAACCTGGTAAAGACCTATAGTAAACGTTTGACCTCTGTTATTGCCAACAAAGGTTATGTTACAAAGTATTGAGTTGTATTTTTGTTATTGACCAAATACTTATTTTCCACCCTGATTTACGAATAAATTCTTTACAAATCCTACCATGTGGATTCATGGATTTTTTTTTCACATTCTGTCTCTCACAGTTGAAGTGTACCTCTGGTGCAAATTACTGACCTCTGTCATCATTTTAGGTGGGGGAACTTGCACAATCGGTGGCTGACTAAATACTTTTTGCCCCACTGTAAGTACTCTCTTGAATAATATTTGTAATGAGTTAAAGAGAGAGTGTTGATGAGAGATGTTCCTAAGACCCTGTCTGATGTGATTACACTATGTGTGAAGCTGGATGAGCACCTACGGGCGCGTCGGGGAACCGGAAACTACATTTCCCAGAGGCCCCCGGGGCGCATGGAGACGTCAGGTGGGGGCGCGCCTAGCGGCAGTCACTCATCGGACAGCATGGAAGAAAGTGAACAGCCCATGCAACTGGGCCGCTCCAGACTGTCGCCCGAGGAGCGGTATCGTCGCTGGAGAGCCGGTGAGTGCTTTTATTGTGGCCGCAAGGGCCATATTGCCATGGATTGCCAGGCGCGGCCAAAAGACAGCGCCCGCCAGTAGCGAGGAGTGTACGGGTGGGCGAGGTCACCTGTTCTCAGTCTCCTCCTCGTCTCATGATTGCGGCTAAGCTAACGGTTCGTCTCAAGACTCATTCTCTCGATGCTCTGATCGATTCCGGGGCAGAACAGAATTTTATTGATGCCTCGCTGGCGCTGAAATTAGGTTTTAGCACGGAGCCTCTGTCTCATTCACTCCAAGTCACAGCCCTTAGTGGCCAGCGTCTTCCAGACATTACTCATGTCACAGAACCGATTTCCCTGTCTCTTTCCGGCAATCATGTTGAAACCATACAGTTGTACGTCTTTAAGCCCCACTCACCCACTAGTCTTGGGCTATCCCTGGCTATGTCAACATAACCCTGTGATTGATTGGAGGAAAAAAAGTATTTCGGGGTGGGGGGAGGAGTGTCACATGTCCTGTTTAAAAGCCGCCACCCCCGCCATGAGCCTACCACCCAATAAAACTATTTCAGAACCGCCTGATCTGTCCTCCATACCGTCTGTTTATCACGACCTGGCGCAAGTGTTTTGTAAAGATAAGGCACGCTCCCTTCCCCCTCACCGGCCGTACGATTGTGGGATTGACCTCCTCCCAGGCGCGCCGCTCCCGACCAGTAGGTTGTATAGCCTGTCTCGACCGGAGCGGGAAAGCATGGAAAACTACATCAATGAGTCACTTGCCGCTGGTCTCATTCGCCCCTCGTCCTCACCTGTTGCCGCTGGTTTCTTTTTTGTCACCAAGAAAGATAAAAGTTTACGGCCCTGTATTGACTATCGCGGCCTCAACGCCATCACAGTTAAAAACAAGTATCCCCTCCCTCTGCTGAGTTCTCCAGGGTGCCACCATCTTCACAAAGTTGGACCTGCGCAACGCCTACCATCTGGTGAGGATTAGGGAGGGAGACGAGTGGAAGACGGCTTTCAATACTCACCTGGGCCATTTCGAATATCTTGTGATGCCTTTCGGTCTCACCAATGCTCCAGCTGTGTTTCAGGCTCTCGTGAATGACGTGCTCCGAGATTTCATCGACCATTTCGTTTTCATTTACTTGGATGACATCCTCATCTTCTCCCGATCTGCAGTGTTGGGGAGTAACGGAATACATGTACCGCCGTTACATATTTAAAATACAAAATATGAGTAACTGTATTCCGTTACAGTTACCGTTTAAAAAGGTGGTATTCAGAATACAGTTACTTTGTTGAAATAAATGGATTACACTGCGGTACTTTCCTGTTTCATATTGTCGCGGGTCAGGACTGTTTGGGTTTTGTTTGACAGCTACGTTCTGTTGTTCCAGGCGGCAGCGTTACGGTTGCCATGGTTACAGGGCGACGCTCTCTCTCTCTCTGCGACTGTGTGTTTCCTGGGTGAGAGAGCGCCTTTTCGTTGTTGTTGTTGTTGTGCTAAGCTAACAGGCAGAATGCTACAAGCATAGCTCTAAAGAATGTAGCATCATGCAGTGTAGTCCGTGTTGCAGGGAGAATGGACTGCCATACACGTTATGGGTCTGTGAGCGCGAGGAGGGAGAAAAAGGGGAGTGGAAAGGTACGAGTTGTCATCGAGGAAAAACGGGAGCTGGAAGCATGTAAATATAATAATAACCACTGCAGCCAAGAAGAGAGCCTGACGAGCCCAGTGTAAGTAAGCTATTAAGACTCGACTGTACACCGTGTTCGTGTTTTCCTCCGAAAACAATAAGTTCCGTTGGAGCAGCCTTTCAACGCCTCTCTCTGTCTCTCGCAAGAAAAGTTGACCCACACAACAAAGTAAAGCTATTTTTCGGCTACGAGCCGACAGGGACCCCGCCGTATTAGTCAGAGGTCCCTTTACTACAGTTCGGAGTCGCGGACCTTCAGTAATAGTAATAAATCACACAGCAATAGTACATTCACGTTGTTGTAAAAAGCATGATAATATATTAAGTAATCCAAAGTATTCAGAATACGTTACTGTCATTGAGTAACGTAAGGAATACGTTACAGAATACATTTTGGGGCATGTATTCTGTATTCTGTAATGGAATACATTTTAAAAGTAACCTTCCCAACACTGCCGATCTGTCGCCGACCACAAACGCCATGTCAGGCAAGTCCTTCAGCGTCTCCTCGAAAATCGTCTCTTTGTTAAAGGGGAGAAGTGTGAGTTTCATGTCTCAACTGTTTCCTTCCTGGGCCACGTCATCGATCGGGGTAACCTCAAGACTGATCCCGCAAAGGTTCAAGCCGTTGTCGCCTGGCCGACCCCTTCCAACCGTAGACAGCTTCAAAGCTTTCTGGGGTTCGCGAACTTTTATCGGCGCTTCGTTCGCAACTACAGTAAACTGGCCCTGCCTCTGACCCGTCTTACTTCTCCCAAGGTTCCCTTCTGCTGGGATGAGCTGGCTCAACGAGCATTTGCCCATCTGAAGGACCGCTTTGCCTCGGCGCCCATTCTCGTCCAACCCGATCTCGACCGGCAGTTCATTGTGGAGGTGGAGCCTCGGACGCTGGAGTGGGGGCGGTGCTTTCCCAGCAGCAAGGAGGTAAGCTGCATCCCTGTGCCTACTTTTCACGCCGTCTCACCTCTGCAGAGAGCAACTATGATGTGGGGATCGAGAGCTACTAGCCATCAAGCTAGCCCTGGAGGAGTGGCGCCATTGGTAGAGGGGCTGCCCAGCCTTTGTGGTCTGGACCGATCACAAGAACCTGGAGTACATTCGATCGGCAAAACGCCTCAACGCCAGGCAAGCCAGGTGGGCCCTGTTTTTTACTAGATTCCAGTTTACGATCACTTACAGACCCGGTTCCCGTAATGTCAAGCCAGACGCCCTCTCACGCCAATTCGCCGCCTCCGAAGACGCAACTCGGGACTCTCCCATTCTACCGCCCACCTGTGTAATCGGGGCCCTGACCTGGGAGATCGAGTCGGCTATTCGAGAGGCTCAGCGGACAGAACCGGACCCCGGAACGGGCCTCCAGGGTTGCTCTTCGTCCCCTCCTCAGTAAGGTCACGAGTGTTACATTGGGCTCATACTGCCAGATTCACCTGCCACCCGGGGGTCCACCGCACTATTACCTTCCTCCAACGTTTCGCCTGGTGGCCTTCCCTTGCCAAAGACGTCCGCGAGTATATTTCCGCATGCTCGACCTGCGCTCAAAACAAGAGCGTCCATCAACCACCCTCTGGCCTCCTTTACCCTCTGCCGACTCCGAGCGCCCTTGGTCGCACATCGCTGTTGACTTATCACTGGTCTGCCCGTCTCGTCAGGTAACTCTGTGATTCTCACCATTGTGGACCGCTTCTCCAAAGCTGCTCATTTTGTCGCCCTCCCTAAGCTCCCCACTGCTCTAGAGACCGCCCGGCTGCTAGCTGACCACGTGTTTCGCCTCCATGGCATCCCCACGGACATTGTGTCAGACAGAGGACCGCAGTTCACGTCGCGTGTATGGAAGGAGTTCTGCAGTGCCCTCGGAGTTGCCTAATAATTATGCACAGTAATAGTCACCTGCACACACAGATATCCCCCTAAAATAGCTAAAACTAAAAACAAACTAAAAACTACTTTCAAAAACATTCAGCTTTGATATTAATGAGTTTTTTGGGTTCATTGAGAACATGGTTGTTGTTCAATAATAAAATTATTCCTCAAAAATACAACTTCCTCAATAATTCTGCACTCCCTGTAAGGTTGGAAACCTGCAGTCAGCTGAGACTGAAGAAGTCACTTGGATGAGTGACGAAATGTTTCTTCCACTGAAAATCCTATGTCCAGATAAACAGAATCGATTTTTAGCACTTTCACTTTGCTATAAGCAACCCATTCTGTAACAAATGTTTACAAAAGCAGTCTTCATGTCTAGGTGTTTGATTTTGTACACCTGGAGAACTGGAGGTGATTGGAACACCTGAATTCAATTATTTGGATGGGCTGAATATTGCACGTCATACCACCTTTCTGGTGGTATGACTCTGAAGCTGTTATCTCAACAGATAGCTGCAAAGGAAATTTCACTAGCAACAGATTGCACTACATTAAAAATTATTTGTAAATGTTTTTTATAATTTTTTTAAAATTACGCTTCCTCCAGAAGTAGAGACTACAATAGTCTTTCCTCAATGAGTCAATGACACACTTCCAGTCCAGTCTATTAATAAGGTGAACACCCAGGTATATGAAGCCCTCCACCATATTTACCATTTCTCCAAGGTTAGAAATGGTGTTCAACTCAGGCTTGGGCCTCCAAAAATATCTCACCATATCTTTTTCTTCTTGGCTTGGCTTGGCGTCCACTTCTCTATTCAGTTTTCACAAATGATCTGCCGTATGTCTTGGATAAATCTCATCTTGTAATGTATGCTGATGATTCCACCATGTTTTATTCAGCCAGTGGCAACTCTGAATTGACCAACGTATTGCAACAAGATTTGCTGAACGTGTTTTACTGGCTAAGTAAAATCAACATGATTTTAAACATCTAAAATCTATGTTAATAGGAAGTAGAGTACGCTTAGTCACAACTAACCAACACCTAAATCTTTCCATAGCTGGAATGGTACAGGGCCTGTATTTATATAGCACTTTACTAGTCCCTAAGGACCCCAAAGCGCTTTACATATCCAGTCATCCACACATTCACACACTGGTGATGGCAAGCCACATTGTAGCCACAGCCACCCTGGGGCACACTGACAAAGGCAAGGCTGCCGGACACTGGCGCCACCGGGCCCTCTGACCACCACCAGTAGGCAACGGGTGAAGTGTCTTGCCCAAGGACACAACGACCGAGACTGCCCAAGCCGGGGTTCGAACCAGCAACCTTCCGATTACAAGGCGAACTCCCAACTCTTGAGCCACAATCGCCCCAATGGTACTAGAACAGGTGACCCAAATTAAATTACTTGGGGTTACTATAAACCACCACCTTTCATGGTCTCAGCATATTGACTGTGTTATTAAGAAAATGGGACTGTGCATAGCTATGGCTAGGAAATGCTCCTTTTATATTACTTTTTCAATTATGAAAGGTGTCATTAATGCACTAGTATTATCTCATCTAGAGTACAATTCAATCATTTGGTCAGCAGCTAATAAGACAGATCTGATCAGACTTCAGTTAGTCAAGAACAAGGCAGCCAGATTAGTGTTAAGGTGTTCAAACTATAGAAATATCTATAACTTTCTTTGCTTTCAAATAAGCTAAATTATACTATGGCTTACTCGTATTTTTTAAGAAAGCAATACTTTTAAAGACACCATATTTTTTTTCTGCTCAGTTGCAGTATCCAGATGAAGTACATAATCATAGTACATGATTTTCAACAAAACACAATTTGGTAACTCCTCAACTTAAAAGTTGAGAAAGTAAACTGCCATCGGTCAAGAGAGGTAGCCCTCTGGAGCCTAAGACTGGCCAAGCCGAGTTTTTTTAAAAAAAAGTAATGACGTAAGATGTTAAGGTAACAAGTGTGCAATAGAGGGCAGATGGGGCAGAGTTCATCAATATTGAGACAAAACAGGATGTTTTCCAGAGTAATGGTATCTTCTCCTGGCTCAAACTAAGATTGAAGATGTGCTGTAAAAATGGACCTTCCATGACCTTCCAAGCTATATAGTTTGTCTTCCATATTTCCAACTATATCCATCACATACTGTGTATGCTACCATTGTATATAGTGTATTATCTTACTTTTTTCATTGATTGTACTTAATTGTATTTTTGTATTTCCTTCATATATCTGTACCTGAGCTGAGGTGAGTTTGGATGGGTCCTAGACTTAAGGTGTTAAACACATTGGCTCTATTTAGGTTTCCCACGGTTTAATAGTTCTTGTTCTGTGATCTTTTTCATTCCTGACCACACATCTTTCGTTTTCCCTGATCTTGTTTTCTGCCTGTTTTTGTAAATAATGTACCACTTTATAATATACCTCCTGTCCCTATAATGGTTTTCTCTTTTTCTTTTTATTGGCTTTACCTACAATGGCCATAATACTATCAGAAATACTTCAGAGATTAACCAATAAAAAAAAATGCCTAGTTTCAGCCCTGGTCTGAATTCTTCCTGACAAAAAAAGAAGGTAAGTCAGAGTAAATAATCACTTCCAAGACTTCTCTTATATTAGGGTTTTAAATGTTTAGCTTTTGGACTGAAACGGTCAAAATACTATGGTTTAGTATCATATCAGTCTTCTGTCAGTTTAGTGCCAGCACAACAAAAACACAGTTTCTGACCTCAGAGTCTCCAGTCTACATTGCCGACTCTCCAGAAAACCACACAACTGTTTCATTCCCGAATCCTGCAGCTTGTTCCCTCTCAGGTCCAGATGTTTAAGATGGGAAGGGTTAGACTTCAGAGCTGCAAACAGGCAGCTGATCTCTGACAAACTGCAGCTCCTCAATCTGAATAAAGCATAGGAAGTATTATCTGTTTAGAGATGAAAAAGATCCAGAATGTAGAAGTTGAACACAGAAGCTGAAAATTAAAATTCTAAATGAAGTATAACAAATACCAAAATATAAACAAAACAATGAGTGAAACAAATTAATGACTGTATACTTCTGTTTCACTAAATATGGAAATATTAAGATGATGTTCCTATGAGATATATATATGTAAGTATGTGTATATAAAAATAAAGGCGTTGAAATTTCAACTATGCATGGACTTAAACATGTGCAAACACACACACATATGCAGTGGGATGCAAAAGTTTGGGCAACCTTGTTAATGGTCATTATTTTCCTGTATAAATCACTGGTTGTTACAATAAAAAATGTCAGTTAAATATATCATATAGAAGACACACACAGTGATATTTGAGAAGTGAAATGAAGTTTATTGGATTTACAGAAAGCGTGCAATAATTGTTTAAACAAAATCAGGCAGGTGCATAAATTTGGGCACCACAAAAAAAGAAATGAAATCAATATTTAGTAGATCCACCTTTACAGAAATTACAGCCTCTAAACACTTCCTGTGGGTTCCAATGAGAGTCTGGATTGTGGTTGAAGGTATTTTGGACCATTCCTCTTTACAAAACATCTCTAGTTCATTCAGGTTTGATGGCTTCCGAGCATGGACAGCTCTCTTTAACTCACACCACAGATTTTCAATAATATTCAGGTCTGGGGACTGAGATGGCCATTCCAGAACGTTGTACCTGTTCCTCTGCATGAATGCCTTAGTGGATTTAGAGCAGTGTTTCGGGTCATTGTCTTGTTGAAAGATGCATTGGTCTCCAGAAACTGCTGATGCTGAGTGGAATTCATGTGTCCCTCAACTTTTACAAGATTCCCAGTCCCTGCACTGGCCACACAGCCCCACAGCATGATGGAACCACCACCATATTTCACTGTAGGTAGCAGGTGTTTTTCTTGGAATGCTGTGTTCTTTTTCCTCCATGCATAAAGCCCCTTGTTATGCCCAAATAACTCAATTTAGTTACATCAGTCCACAGCACCTTATTCCAGAATGAATCTGGCTTGTCCAAATTTGCTTTAGCATACCTCAAGCGGCTCTGTTTGTGCTGTGGGTGGAGAAAAGGCTTCCTCTGCATCACTCTCACATACAGCATCTCCTTGTGTAAAGTGCGCCGAATGGTTGAACGATGCACAGTGACTCCATCTGCTGCAGCATGATGTTGTAGGTCTTTGGTGCTGGTCTGTGGGTTGACTCTGACTGGTCTCACCATTTGTCACTTCTGTCTATCCAAGATTTTTCTTGGTCTGCCACTTTGAGCCGTAACTTGAACTGAGCCTGTGGTCTTCCATTTTCTCAATATGTTCCTAACTGTGGATACAGACAGTTTAAATCTCTGAGACAGCTTTCTGTATCCTCCCCCTAAACCATGATGGTGAACAATCTCTGTCTTCAGGTCATTTGACAGTTGTTTTGAGACCCTCATGTTGCTACTCTTCAGAGAATATTAAAAGAGGAGGGAAACTTACAATTGACCACCTTAAATACTATTTCTCATTAATGGATTCACCTGTGTATGTAGGTCAGGGGTCACTGAGCTTACCGAGCCAATTTGAGTTCCGATAATTAGTTCTAAAAGTTTTGAAATCAATAAAATGACAACAGTGCCCAAATTTATGCACCTGCCTGATTTTGTTTAAACAATTATTACACACTTTCTGTAAATCCAATAAACTTCATTTCACTTCTCAAATATCACTGTGTGTCTCCTATATGATATATTTAACTGACATTTTTTATTGTAACAACCAACGATTTATACAAGGAAATAATGACTATTAACAAGGTTGTCCAAACTTCTGCATCCCACTGTATATATACACCCTTTTGTGAATCGCTACCTCATTGTGGTGCATGGATTTGTGTGTCCCAGGGATCCCAGTGGGTAAGTTGTCTGTGTTGTCAAGGGCTTTGCCCTCCTGATAGGGTCTCCCATTGGTCCTGGTGAGACTAGTGACTGAGACATGGAATGTCACTTCTCTGCTGGGGAGGGAGCCTGAGCTACTGCGTGAGGTTGAGAGGTACCAACTAGATATAGTTGTGCTCACCTCAATGCACAGCTTGGGCTCCAAAACCAGACACCTGGCTAGACTCAGTCTGGAGTAGATCTTGGTGAGAGGCATCGGGCTGGGGGTGGCTATTCTAGTTTCCCCTTTGGTTTTTTCCAGTGGATGAGAGTTTTTTTTCCCTGCACCTTAGGGTCAGGGAATGGGTCCTGAATGCTGTCTGCGCTTATGTGTCAAACCACAGTTCAGAGTGCCCAACCTTCTTGGAGTCCCTGGGTGGGGTGCTTAAGGCTACTTAACCTTGGGACTCTGTTGCCTTTCTGGGACACTTCAATGCTCATGTAGGCAATGACAGTGAGACCTGGAGGGGTGTGACTGGGAGGAACGGCCTGACAGATCTGAACCCAAGCAGTGTTCTGTTACTGGACTTCTGCGCAAACCACAGTTTGTCCATGACAAACACCATGTTTGAACATAATGGTGTCCATAAGAAAGTAAGTTAAGTTTATTTATTAAGCCCTTCTCACAGACAGGCAGTCACAAAGCGCTGTACAGAAAGTTTAAAATAAACAGTACAATCAATCGATCTTATACACAATGTAAAAGGTTAAATGTAAGTTAAATAATGTGAAGAATATAAAATACATAGATCAACAAAATGCTTGTTTGAACAGTAAAGTTTTTAACTGATTTTTAAAAGAATCCACAGTCAACCATATGTAATTGTGGTGATAGACTGTTCCACAGCCTTGGTGCAACAGACTGAAAGGCTCTGTCCCCTTTCGTCTTCAGTCGTGTACGGGGAACAACCAACAGACTTTGAGTCTATGAGCGGAGACGATGAGCAGCAGTGTATTTTATATGAAGCTTGGATAAATAATCTGGGGCCTGGCCATGTAATGCTCTGTATGATAAAACAAGAATTTTAAAACAAATTCTAAACACTATTGGAAGCCAATGTAAAGAATATAAGATGGGAGTAATGTTAGCACGCTTCCTAGAACGAGTTGGTAGACTGGCTGCTGCATTTTGTATTGCCTGGAGGAGAGAGAAATGTGATTTATCCAAGCTGGTAAACAGGGAATTACAGTAAACGTGATGACACAAATGCATGGATGAGATTTTTCCAGTTCATCTAAAGAGACCATATGTCACAGTTTAGAGATGTTTCTTAAGTGAAAGAAACAGGAACGACAAAGATATTACATGAAAGTCAAGGCCCAGAGAGGAGTCAAATATTACTCCAAGATTCTGAATATTTGACTTGACAGAAGAACTGAAAGAGGCAAGAACCTGATTAATTTTAGAATGTAGCTCAGGAGGAGCTATGATCATGGTCTCAGTCTTGTTCGTGTTTAGAACGAGGTAGTTGCTTGAAAGCCAATCAGAAACCTGCGTTAACCTCTTAAGCCCCAACGCCCTCTGATACGGGGGCAAAAGGCAGGAGATCAGGTGGGCTTGGGGCTTAAGAGGTTAAGCACTGGACCAGGACACACACATGCACATGGACACCCTAGGCCACAGGTTAGTTATCAATTTTGTTATCATATCATCAGATCTGCTGCCATATGTTCTGGATACTTTGGTGAAGAGAGGCGCTGAGCTGTCAACTGATCAACAGCTTGTGATGAGTTGGATAAGGTAGCGGAGGAGGATGCTGGACAGCTTGGAGTAAATGTATAGTGAAGGTGCACTGGGAACACCTGGCAGAGGCCCCCATCCACGAGATCATTAACTCCCCCTCTGACAGAGATTCAACAGAATTCCAAGGGAAACTGGGTATATAGATCATCAATAAATCATGTTCAGCTCCATTGCTGAAGCTGCTACAACCTCCACACGGAGGTTGGTGCCTGTCATAGTGGTAACCCCTAAATCAGATGGGGGGCACCAGAGGTGAAGGGAGCCATAAGGCTCAAGAAGCAGTCCTATTTGGATTGGTTAGCCTGTGGGACTTTGGAGGCAGCCAATAGGTACCAACAGGCCAAGCAGAACGCAGCTTGGGCAGTCACAGTAACAAAAACTTGGGTCAAGGAGGAGTTCGTGGAGGCCATGGAAAAAGACTTTCAGACTGCCTCAGATAGAATCTGGTGCTCCACCCGCACTGTGTATAGTGCAGGTGGAGCACTGATGACTTCAACTGAGGATATTGTCATACCATGGAAGGAATGCTCCAAATATAGGGGGATCACACATCTCAGCCTCCCTGGGAAAGTCTATGCTGGGGTAGAAAACCCTTTCTCTTACTCAAACGTATGTTATATACTTTCATTTCTGCACAACATAAACAGGGCATCTTACCCCAGTGTTTCCAGTCTACAGTTTCGACCCTCCAGAAAGCCACACAGCTGTTTCACTCCTGAATACTGCAGGTTGTTCTGACTCAGGTACAGCTCTCTCATGTTGGAGGGATTGGACTTCAGTGCTAAGCCCAGACAGCTGATCTCCGATAACCTGCAATTCTCCAGTCTGAATAATAAATGAAAGATTTAAGTTAATTAGTTATGTGCTTGAAATTCTTCAGTGTTTTATAGTTTTCTTGGAGCTGAAAATTCAGATTCAGTTTACAGAAGTCCAGTAAAGTGAAACTTCAAATGGCTGAAGCTTGCAGAATGCCCGCCTTTTTTATCACATGGCTAACAAGCCGTAAGGACTCTCAGCCATGGGACCTAGAACCTGAAAAACAGGGCAGGAAGAGGGAGAGGGGAGAGAGAGAGAGAGAGAGAGAGAGAGAGAGAGAGAGAGAGAGAGAGAGAGAGAGAGAGAGGAGGAAAAAACAGCATTCTCCAACAGGGAGAATCTCCTAGCAACCCACGACCGTAACGCCCTCCCCCATAAAAATCCACCTCTAGTAAAACCAGTGCTCTGTGTGGTTAACTGATGTCCACTGGACAGTGCATCCGCTAATATATTGTCTACCCCTTTTTTATGTCTGATGTCCAAGTTGTATTCCTGAACTAGTAGAGTCCATCTCTAGAAGTAGGAGATTGGATTATTGATGTCATCAGTTCCCTTCTGGAGCCCCCATGGCACTGGCGTCCACCTCCAGGCTGAATGCTCTAATTAAATCTGGGGCGGCCAGCACTGCACAGGAGGGACTTAGCACCATCAAAGATGTGTTGGCACTCAGTGGTCCACTAAAAAGGTTCCTTTGGGCTACAGAGGCGGGTTAGAGGGGCCACCACGGTTGAGAAGTTCCAGCAGAAACACCGATAGTAGCCCACGAGGCCCAGGAACCGCCTAAGTTCCCGCCAGGTGGTAGGAACAGGGTAGTTTACTACCGCCGCCACTTTGGCATTCACAGGGCACACTTAGGGACCGACCCACCAGCAGTCACCCTCCTGTTCTCGGCCAGGATTGGTCCCAAAACTGACTCCCCAAGGATCATTCCCCCCCCTGCGGTGCGGGTGCGGGTGGACATGAAACTGTAAAACCTAAACTGGGCAAAACTAACAAAACAAACCAGAAACGAAGATGCAGGGAGGTCTGGGAAAATACACAGAGAGACACAGGGAGACCGAGGGAAACAACACAGACCAATTAGTTTAGGACGGGTGAACACACACTATAAGTACACATACCAGTAATCAGGGATGGGAAACAGGAGGGAAACACGCCTGGGGGACATAACAGCTGACGAGGTAGGGGAAACGTAAACAGAACACACTGACATAAGACAGAGACTTTCAAAGTAAAACAGGAAACACTTACACGTAATGACACAAACTCAGAAATGCAGACCAGACACAGATATACACGAACACTAACCGAGGAAGAACAGAACCAAAATTACAATAATAGAAAACACAAAACGCTGGGTCAAAAGGACCCAGGATCATGCCGTAAAATCTACAACACCACTCTCCTGACTCCACCTATCAAACAATATTCCTTTTTCCTTGCAAACTCAAGAAAGGTTTGCGTGGGGGGCCTACGGAGGGACCGGAAATGCTTTCTGTAAGCTTCAGGCACTAATTCATATGCTTTGAGAATGGCACTCAGTACCCTATCATACACTAAACTGTCCTTAACGGTGAGAGCCGCACACACCCCCTGCGCCTTACCCACCAGTTTATACTGCCTCAGCAGAGGCCAAACCTCTTTAGGCCAGTGCAAGGCTATGGCAATATGTTCAAATGCATTAAAATATGCCTCTAATTCTGTTTCATTCTTACCCACATCAAATCCTGGAGGGGCAAGCAAAAAATGAATAAACTTGAAACAGCTGAGCTGAAAAACTAAAAGCATCAGGCTCTCTGAGGCCAAAATAACAAACAAAAACACTCCCCCTTCCTATAAACAAAACACATGGTATAACTTCCCTCAAGAAAAAAAAAATGCAATACCTGACATCTCTGGCTGTCCACAAAACAGGAGAAAACTTTGGTCAAACAAAAATGGCGGAGAACCCCTACCAGCCTACACTGCTCTCTCTCACTATCACAGTATTCCAAACGTAGAAAGAAAACAGAAGCGCTATACACACACGGCGCTCAGAGCCTCCTATGGCTAACAAGCCATAACGCTACTCAGCCGCGGCACCTGGAACTTCAAAGACAGGAAAAGGGAGAGGGGAGAGAGAGGGAGAGAAAGAAGAAAAGAAAAACACAGCATTCTCAAACAGGGAGAACCTTCTAGCAACCCATGACCGTAACAATTGGCATCCAGTAAAAAGTGACCATTATCCTTTTGGTGTTGACTCTTAACAACTGACCCTTGTCCTGGTCAGACACCAACTAAAGAGAAACACTAACAAATGGAACAGCACTGTCACCTCTTATGTAGCAGGTTTATCAGACAAATTTTCTCCAATCACTATATCCCAGTGGACCTCAGACCCAGCCACACACTCAGACAAAAACTGGTTTATCAAAAGGACAAAACTCCCAAACACAAACTAAACAACGTAGTGTATGCTGTGCAGTGAGGAGTGCTCAGACCTCTTCACTGGAGAAACCAAACAGCCCCTCCATAAACACATAGCACAACAGAAGGGCAACATCGACAGGAAAAGACTAAGCTTAACATTTGAACCTAAAGGATAAAGGTCACTCTTTTGAGGATGCTAATGTTCACATTTTGGACAGAGAAGACAAAGAGTTTGTAAGAGCAGTGAAACAGGATTTATGTGCACTGTGTCTAAAACTCATTGAACAGAGGGAGTGGCTTAAAACTGTCTGCCACATACAATGCAGTTTTGAGATCCCTTCCCAGGTGCCTCAATTCCCACTCACATCTTGTGTCACGTGACCTCAATAGGTAATATGATAGGGAGACAACGTCTCACAGTGGTTTCACCCAAAACCTTTAGTGCTAATAACCCATGCTGTTTTTTATACCTTGACTTATGTGATGAGGGGCATGAGAGGGTCTATGAACCACTTAAGGGACAGCTCCCACTGAGGTTTAAATAGATACATGGGACTCCACCATTTTGTTTTACAAGAGAAGCATATTGGACGTGAGGTGAAACGTCTTTGCGAAACTTAAAGGAGCCTAGTCACTCCCTTTCAAGCTCCTTAGGTCTCAATGCATGGTAAGGCGCTTGTCTTGATGCCAGTAGCTTCTATCTTCTCCTTTGGCCAGCTTATTATCCTTGCAGGGTCTCTGATGACTAGCAGGATGTAGGTGTTGAATGTTAATCTTCCTGACCCCTCAGCATTTGCTTTACTCTCTGCAGGTATTTGGTGGTCGTGGTTTTCCTTGCAACCCCTTCATGGATCCTATTTGCCTTTGGGATTCCAAGGTACATGTAGATGTCCTCAGTGTCTGCTATGTTGCCTTCTAGTAGTGCAGTCCCTTCCATTTTGACTACCTTTCTTCTCTTGGTTACCATCCGACTAAACTTCTCCAGTCCAAATGACATTCCAATATCATTGCTACAGATCCATCCATGTAGAGGAGGTGGCGAATTTTTGATCCATTCTGACGTTAGTATCCACTATTGTTAATGATCTGACTAATGATCTGGGGTTCAGATCTACAGGGAGTGCAGAATTATTAGGCAAGTTGTATTTTTGAGGAATAATGTTATTATTGAACAACAACCATGTTCTCAATGAACACAAAAAACTCATTAATATCAAAGCTGAATGTTTTTGGAAGTAGTTTTTAGTTTGTTTTTAGTTTTAGCTATTTTAGGGGGATATCTGTG